TCTGCCTATACTCGAGCCTCTGGACAAGAATGGTTCTTTGCCAACGTCAACAAAGACTTCATTCGACGTGCAGTCAAGGTGAGAGAATAACCGAACAAGAGCACTACTCATCTGTTCATGATGCATTTACGTCGACACCAGTGAAGTTCTACGCTGCTGTTACTCTGTTTTACGGTCCTGTGATGTTACTTCCAGGCTCTCAGCCTTTCTGCAGGGAAAGACACTCCTCTGTGGACGGCGATGGAGAATCTGCAGAAGGGATATTCATGGCATTGGACCAAAGCATTCCTGATCATTGAGGCTCGGTACTTCCAGGCCACCACTCTGGGTCTGCCACTGGAGATCAGCAAATATTACCAGTCCGTCACTGGAATCACTGTTAACGGTGGGCAGTCGAACCATTCAGAACTGCAAATCAGTGTTTAGTATTTGCTTAAAAAGTGTGTATTTAATGTGACTTTATTTCTTGTGTAGCTAAAGCTGTAATAAATCCTCCACCAACCGAGCGTCTTGGACAGCTGTTGAATTCTGAAGTTTCCCTGGACACAGACGGTTTTGTCGGGTAAACAACAGCAAATGTTTTGTGCTTCCCTCATCGGTGGTAAATTAGCATTTTATACGATTTACATTAAACTGAGTTCTTGTTTGTTTGTAGTTTTACGAAGGACTTCTGGGCGTTCTACGGCATCAACACCGAGCTGTTCCAGAGCGGCTCTGAGGTCGTGGGCAAAATTCCTGTCGGCGCTCCGTTTAAGTTTTCCTCCAAAATCAACGTTGCACAAAAGAAGTTTGAATTCGACTTCCCAGTTTTAAAGAAAGAGATTGAACTCTTCTCTGTCAGGTACGTTTTAGGAGCTGATTCGTCGAAGAAATGTGAATATTATCTGATACGGTTCAGAATAAATTCACTGTTTGTTTGGTTAAATGTAGAGTTTTGTCGAGAGCAAGTAGCTTTTCGGCCAGTTGAGTTTGATATTGCAACTCTGGAGAGTCACAGAGATCTCGTTAGTTAGTTAACTAGTTAAATTTAGTATTCCTGGGTAGCAATTTCACAGTAACTGCAGCACCATTTCGTACGAAGGGTGCAAAAAAATTGTAAAATAATTGTGACGATAATGACAAAAGAAGGTAAAACATGTTACAATCCCACATTGTGAAGGAGTGAATTATTATTTATAATCCTTAATATGCTTATTTTTTCAGATTACTTCAAATATCTGTCTGTAAAATAATATTTTATAGCTCATTTAAAATAGTAAACAGTGTAGTTTTGTGGTCAGACTTTAAAAAATCAGTCACGATTAGTCACATTGCGTACAGTTTTGGCCTGTTTTTTCAACCAACATGTAAATTAATGTTGTTTTCCTGCAATTTTACTTGATGTTATCTGTAATGTAACAAAACAGGGAAAATCTGTAATGCAGTTAAAACCTAATTTACCCATTTTTTAGTTTTTATCTCAAACTTCTTTCCAGATAATTTAACATACAGCGACAACAGTGTTTTTCGAGTTGCGTTTTTACAGTACGTGTTGTCTGAGATTCAGGCTCTTTGTTTTCAGCTCCAACGCGTTCGCAGTTTCCAGAAACATCGAAGAACCAACTCTGGCCAAAATGACGCCAATGATCCCCGACATCGCAGCCTCCAGCGAGCAGGTACAGACGACACCTGAACACCTGAACACCTGTTAAAGCTCAACTAGCGAATCTGAGCACCTTGATCATTTTGGTCCAAACATTCTGCAAAGTTCTGGCCGTGTTTTAAGTTGGAATTTCTTTTTCCAGAATAATTTTCTTAGAGGCAGGAAAACATTCTGGAAATGTTTGATGATAAAAAATGTTCTTGCAACATTTTCCAGATGTTCTCCTGAAACATTACGGGACGGTCTAATAGAGGAACTGTAGAATAAACGTTCCAAAAACATTCTGTCATCTAAGGCCTCTGTAACATCTGGAAAACATTTTTCGAATGTTGCATAGAGAACGTCCTTCTTTTGTCATCATGGAACGTTTTACAGAAGAACATTGTATTTTCGCCTAAAAGGTTGGCAGAACATTTACAGGATATATTTTCCACATCTGTTCTTATGTGATAAAGTGAAGCAAAGTCCTTAGAGGCTTCGATAATATCTGCAAAACATTTGTTGAATGTTCCTTTCAGAACGTTCCTCCTTTGTTATTGTAACATAATCGTTCTTCTAACGTTGTGTGCTTCTTTGAACATCAGATTAGAATTTTCTTTATGCTCCTTTTTCCATTCTTTATTTATTTATTATCTTCTTTCCTACTTTTAAAGTGTCTTTGTGAGTCTTGACACACTCTATAAAAGTATTATTTTTATTACTGTTATTATTGTTGTTGTTGTTGTTGTTCCCTGCCAGCTGGTTCATGTTTTGTGATTTTTTTAATGTTTTTTTCTTTGTTTTTTTTAACCTTAAACAAATCCAGACAGCAAACACCTGGCATCCAAAAGGCAAATTCTGTGCAGAGAGTCAGATCTATGGCGTCGGAGTCTGTGTGGAGTCCGACATGAGGAGGCAGTATTACCACGAGGAGTATCCTCTCTTCTACTTCCTGGGATTCACTCACCTGGCGTTCAAACTGGTCCCAGGTAGGAACGACGCCGGCACAATGCACGCGCTAGGAAATAAAAAAAAATGCAAAAATAACCGTCGCAATCTGGCGACAAGTGTGCAGAAAAAAATGTTAAATAAATAAACAAATAATCGTAAAGGTAAAGGCAATTTTTTAAAATCAGATTTAAATACACTTACTGTTATTTGAAAGAAGATTTTTTTTAACTGTGATTTTTACAGATTCTTCCTGTTTTGTTGAGTTGCAGATAATATTTAGTCAAATCATAGAATAAAATATTTATTATTAGCCGATCATAAAAGAAAACCAGTTCAAAACTTTAAATAATGTCCTCATTTAAAATATTTATTTTCTCAATAGTAATTGTGCGTAAAATTATTCTGTTTTATTGTCTTAAAATTGGCTAAAAATGTAATTATTTAATCATATTTACAAATATGTATGATTGTTTTTGCGGATTTTGACCATTCAAGCTTTATTATTTTTTATTTTTTACATATTTTTAACTTTACAGTGTAGGTGAAACACAAATTGTTGTCGTCGTTCTCTGATGTAGAACAATCTGTGTTACTGAGCGTTTCCCCGTTAGCTCTCGATGCTAACGCTGCTCCTCTCTCAGTCCAGGCAGGCCGAGCCGTGGACAAGATCCACTTTGAGGTGAACGCCGGCCCCAGCAAACATCCGATGAGCGCCCGCCAGCTGCTCGAGACTCTCAGGAGGCTTTCGCAGGTATCTGCCGACGCTCTGCAGCGTTTTCTGTCACCTTCTGTTTCATGTGTTCACGTTCTGTTGTTCCTGAACTGTGTTTCCAGGATGCGGCCCAGAGAGAAGTTTCCACAGACTCAGCCGCCAGAGGAGCTCGTCAGAGCCAACGGGACTCTGCAGCAGACGTGAGTGACGACACAGGAAGTGCTTGGTCACGGTTCAGGATCAATAAGTGTGAAAACTGCAGCTGTTTGTGTGCATGTGCATCGACGGATACTTTATTCATCCCCTTTATAGAAAGTCGAGATGTCCAGCAGCTCACACATGTTGAATTTAAGAAAAACTAATGTGTGAAATAACAGTAAATCATGCTGGTATGTGTGGATCGGTGTTTAGCACCGTTGCCTCACAGCAAGAAGGTCGCCGGTTCATGTCCCAGTGAGGACACCCAGGATCTTTCTGCGTGGAGTCTCCATGTTCTCCCCGTGCAGCGTGGGTTCTCTCCGGGTTCTCCGGCTTCCTCCCACAGTCCAGAAACATGTTGAGGTTAATTGGTGATTCTAAATTGTCTGTAGGTGTGAATGTGAGTGTGCTTGGTTGTCTGTCTCTAAGTGTAGCCCTGTGATAGACTGGTGACCTGTCCAGGTGAACCTGCCTTCACCCTGAGTCAGCTGGGATAGACTCCAGCCCCCCATGACCCTAGTGAGGATTAAGGTGTAGAGATGATGGATGGATGGGTGGATGCTGGTATGATCTGAATTATCCACCTCTTGGCTATGTGTCAGCCTTTTAGATCAGCAAGGGAGAAGATCTCCAACCATGTGGCACCGAAACAGAAACCAGCTGTCTGTTTATCGTGTTTATCAGGGGCAGGGTTCGCTGTAAAGGCTTTTTTAAATCACCTTTTATAAAAGTATAATTATCAGGAGCAGTGTCTTCCACAATGATGACAGTCATATAGTCGATAATGACAATAGCAGCGTCTGCATACAGTAAAATATGAGGATTAAAGCATTTAAATACTGTACAACAATAGAAATAATAATAAGGGTGGACTAAAGCAACCCTCCTATATATATATATTTACATACTTACGGTCTAACAAATGTATTAGACCTTCACCCAGTGTCAGGTTTATGCCACAGCTGCCCTAAATTAACAGCATTAGTAATTACTGTAATGGTTAATACACCAGTATCTGATATATTTAATGCTAAAATATAATTATTATTGTTATCCATGAATTTTCAAATGTAAAATTTTACAAAAAAAACCCCCAGAAAAACATAGTTTTAGTGGCTGATTGATGGCAGATTTGGGTATAAAAAGGTGAATTCAGTTTGAAATTCCTCATTCCTGTTCAAAATGGTAAAACATGGAGCGCTGAAGTAAGTAGCATTAAAGTACTTTATGAGCTGGATGCTCTATACACATATATATGTACAGGTGGTCTACTACATTTGTTAAAATAAGCTGCTTGTTCCCTGAGATCCACCTCATCCGTCCCTCGAATTTCCTCCGTCAGGGTTTAGACTCGACGCCTGAAGCCGTGTTCAACTTCAAAGCCTTCGCCATGAGCGGCGACCGGAAGCCCGAAGGTTACGACGCCGTGATGTACAACACGTCTGAAGGAAGCCATCACAACGCTCAGCTGATCGTGTCCCAAGTGGGAGACAACATCAACTGGAAGATGTGCGTCAACACCATGATGAACAGCAGCGCCGAGGCCAAGGTGGGTGGAGCACGACTTCTTCATACAGGGACGGATATAGTAATGATATAAAGGTTGTAAAGATGCAGTAGGCTCTTGGATGGAGAGTTAAATCAGTTTGGTTAAGCTCTGGAATTAATAAGAAGGGATTTGGGAAACCGTGACGGACATTTTTCACTGTTTTTTGATGTTTAATCGAACAAATGATTCATCCAGAAGGAAAATATCTGTTGCTGCTCTAATTTCCTGCCACCAAACCAACGAACTCCAATAAAACCCCGAAACAAAAAGGTTCTTTAATGGTGATGAAGCTCTACAGAACCATTTAGAACCATTTAGTGGCAGAAATATTCCTTAATTACGATGAAAACAGTCCGTTTATTGAACCAAACCAGCGTCTGTTTTCGACCTGCAGCTTTGTGTGGACGGATATCTTCGAGTCTCCTCAGAAATGTGTTTACAAGTTGAGAAGAATAAAACAAACTGCGGTGAAGATGCAAATGTTAAAGCTATAATTTATTATTAATAGACTTTGCACAAGAGGGGAGCTCTGATGTTGGCACATAAAAGATTTCGTTTTCTTCTGCATTCATTGTTGGTTTTCTCCGGATTGCGAAGGATAAAAAGATAAAAGATGCAAACAGACCTTATGAAACACAGCTGCCATCACCACCCATTATATGTTTCAACAAACTGAGAACACGTTTACTCCTGCTGCCTTTTGGTTCCTACAAAGTTTAGGTTTCAGTGTTCCTGTGAGCACATGATTGGTGGTTTTACAAAAGCTTGGAAGTCGTTTGTCGGTTTGGACCTCTCCGTTGACCTCTGCTGTTTGTTCAGGCTCACATCGGATGGGGAGCTGAATGTCAGTCCTATGAAATGTTGCTGGCTGCTGCGTATCCGTCCGCTTCCAAACCGACGTTCGAAGCCAAAGTTGACTGGACCAGGATCCCAGAAAACATGGAGGAGTTGGGCACCAGGTGAATGAAACTCCCTGGAACCTATTTCCTGTCCTTACCGCTATGAAATGCGCTGGCTTCTTGCTAAAGGCGACTTCCTCTTTCACGCAGGCTTGAGCGCTACGTCCCCGGCATGGCCTTCCTGTTCGGCTTCTACCAGGAAAACGAGTCCAACGCCCAGCGGGAGGTTTCGGCGTCGTTTGCCGCCTCCTCGGCAGACAGCGTCGACGTGAAGATCAGATTCCCAAAGGTGCCGCGAAAAAAAAAATCCTCACAGCACATTTCTTTGTTGTCGTCAAACTTGTGAAGCTAATCGAGTTGTTTCCTCTGTGTGTTGTAAAGTATACGCTGTACCGGCAGGCCGTTCCACTTCCTGTTCAAGCCGACAGGAGCTTCAACGCCACATCAGTAACACCACAATAAGCCGATTTGAACACGTGAGCATCAAATAAAACAGCTTGATTGAATGTCCACAGTAATCTTCTGTGTCCTGTTTTTGTGCAAATCGAACGAGCGAAGACGGAGCCGTTTCTGCCTCCTTTTATAAAACACGTTTTGTGTTTGCAGAAAGACGGCGATGCCTCTTTTCACGGCGATAAGAAACCACCATCCCGACGGAGGAGAGGATCACAAAGGATGATTTGCTAATCCGTCGCATGTCGCCAGCTTGGAAATAACCTGTAACGGTTCTGATTTGTTCATTTGAAGCGTGTTAATACTGGAACACTACTGTTATTATCCTCGTTGTACTGGACCAACCAAACACAGCTCTGGTGCTATTTTGTGCCTCCAAAATCTGTGCATCCCTTGAATAAAATGCAAAGCAAAAAAAAACACCAAACATGTTTTGACTTTATTATTACGAGAACGTTGATCCTACAGTGTAAAAACAATGATGTGTCTGAGAAAATTACGACAACTTCCAATAAAATTACCAACAAAAGACATCGAGTTGGAGAAATTTGCTTTTTCTCTTCGCCAATTTCATCAACTTGCGCAGAATTTTGAGTTTAAATGACACAATACCAACGTAAAAGTCTGAATCAGTGAATTCGGTATTTTTAACCGTGCATTCATCGAGTTCCTTTATAATTAGAGATTCTCCTCCGTCTCTGGATAACGTCCATTACAACCAGATTACTGGTTTACACCGTTACTCTGATTGATCTGAGCTCATTGATAAGCTTCTCAAAGTCAGACGAAGATCCACAGTCCTGATGAAATCCCCGGAAATCAGGAAATCATCTCTAGAAGGTTTCGAATGAAGTTAAACGAAGAGTTTCGACTCTTATCTGCTGCCGGCTTTGCAGCTTTCTTTGGTTTTGTTTAAAAAAGAAAGCATTCTATTTGCCAAATCTAGTTTCTTTTAGACTTAAAGCCAGGTCCAGTTGGCAGGTTTGTTCGTCTTCACCACCCGGTTTGGTAAACAAGCAGCTCCTTTAGTACTCCAAATATTAGGTTGTCACTGTTCTGGATGAGACTCGGAGTCAGCAAACTGGATGATGAATGTAAACGTTGGACAGTTTTCGCTCTGTTGGAAGAGACGGATGTTTACGAGGTCTGTGTGACCCGTTCTGTTTGTCTGGTCAACAGGCCTGTTTGCACAAACGGGCTGCGCCGACACCGTTCAGAGTTCACCCAACCCGCCCTTTGGTAAAAACTGAAACGTAGATTGTTCAACCACCTTTTCTGTCTGAACGTACTTTGTGACGAGCGCCGGTTCTCCTGAGCTGGTTCTCGGCCCAGATCTCAACTTTGAGTCCTAACAAATGGGACGAGCCGGCAGCCAGAAATAATGATTGCATCCTAATCAAAGAGCGGTCGTCCCGACTGCTGCTGGCGCCGCGCTCGCCGCTAATTTAGCCAGATGGCGTCGAATTGCAGAGAAAAGACTTTGCCACCAAACGCTGAGCAGGATGAGCTCAATTATAACGGCACCATTATGTTCCACTTACAGCTCTAATATCCTGCAGGCTTCAGAGTCGCGCCTGACGAGTTCGATCGCGACTCTGTTCGTCGGGGAGTCGAGGAGATCAGGGCGCCCTGACTGTGAGTCGACATGACTTCACCGGGTGACATTAGCTGGTTAGAGATGACTGATCGGGTCATTTGTGGGAGGAGGAATCGGCCGAGCCCGCCTCTTTACTGCTGCTTGGTCCAAAGCCTCATTAAACAGACGATGAACAAAAGCCACGTTGAATAAAACCACAGACATGTTGGTCCAAATCTAGATGTTAGTCCATGTTTGGTGCACAGAGGACTCAAAGCAATTCATGCTCGACAAGCAAACGTTTGGGCTCAACAACAAAAGAAAAGGAGTGATGACAGTTTAGGGGAATTACTGGTGTTTCAAGGTGAAGAAAAACCACATTTGAGGCTAAATTTGAGCCGTTACTTCATGTTTTCTGCATAGAGGGTTCATGCAGGCACAAAAAAAAATCTATTCAGCTTTTAATTCTCAAAAAACAAATTTAAACAACAACAGCAAAAAAGATGAAGCGTTGAACAGCTGGCAGCAGTTATTAGGGTCATTAGGCTTTTCTCAAAAATGAAAATGCACAAACGAAAGTATTTTAAGTTGTCAAGGACTTCAAATCCTGAAGTCAAGGTGAATAAAAGAAGATGTATTAGTTTAAGTGGATATTAACCTGAATGTTGTATTAAATCAGTTAACACAGACGTGAGTCAAATTCAAGCTGTTACTTGATGCAAAATTCACACAAAAACAAACATTTAGGCTCAACAACAACAAAAGAAAGTGGGGTTTTTTCAGTTATAACAAAAATTTCGGGGAATCTGTGTTATTTTACTGAATAACTGGCGACCAAAAAGTAGTTTTAAGTATTTAAGGACTTGAAATAGTGAACTCAAGGTAAAGAAAAATTGGGTCATAATGATTTATTTCAACTGCATTTTGTTTTAAATCAGTTAACACACACGTGAATCTAAACTCTGTGACTGGATGTTTTCTGCGCTGAGGATTCATGCAGCACAAACGCAGCTTTAATACTTTAAAACAAATGTTTAGGCTCAACAACAGCAGAAGAAAGTATTTCTCAGTTATGACAACTTCTAACAACATGATATTGATTTAGGGGAATTAAATTAATGGCATTTTACTTGGCTGCATTGTCTCAAATATTTATTTATTTTTTATATTTTAGAGGAGTTGAAATCACTTCCTGAAGTCACTGAACCTTTAAAATGAACGTATTAGATGTTTTTAAGTCTTTAAATCCTGAATTTAAGAGGAAAAAAATAGATCATAACAATTTATCATTTATTTCAACTTGAGTTTTGTTTGAAATATTTGAGTTTTCTGATTAGAGATTCCTGCAGGCATTAGAGCGATCGATGCAGGTTTAATATTTAAAATAAAAATGTTCCAACACAACAAGTCTTTCTTTGAAAATCAGTCACTTAAAAACACCTGCAGCCAGTTATTACGTCTGTAAGGACTTGAAATATAAATTGAAGAAACATGAATTTGTAATGTGGGATTTTTATAATTCAACAAAAGACAAAACTGATTTGTAGAATTAGATGAGAAACAAACCTAAAGATATGATTAGAGAGGTTAAGTAAGTGTAGAAATAAGACTTAGATGTGATTTAAGTATAAAGAAATAATGTGAGTAAATAATATCGTGTGTAAAGAAAAACAAAAGTTATGAATAAACTGGACAAACCTGTGGCAAAAACCCAACCTAATGAAAATCTACCGAACGCTGACACCTGCTGGCAGGCCGGAGTATAGCAGGCCGGACACGCATGCGCCCTTCGAGTTCAGTTAAGGACACCAAGGCCTGAAAATGACCCAGTAAAGATGGCGTCCGGAAAGTCGTAAGAAGCCCTTAGATTACGCTGTGCTAAGCAGGAAACAATGCTGACTACGGACTCTCTGATGGGGATCAAAGAAATCAGGTTGTGGTTTTGGACAAAGTTTGCAGGTATATAAGGACATGTAATGCATTGCTAGCTAGCCAAGTCTCGAGATTTTGCTCATGTTAGTTCGTGCAGTCTCTGTTTCGAATAAACGTTATTTCACCTCAGACTCTGACGACTGTTTGGAGATTTTTTTCCTTCTCGTAGAATTTTTTTTGGGACCTAGCTAAGACTTGTTGTTTCAGTTATATGGTTTTGACGACGCTGCCTGATCATCGCCGGCCCGAACCAGGCAAGCCGAGTCACGACAGCAATAATTCACTGAAACTTGAATTTTGTTTCAAATCAATTAACAGAAATATTTGAGTCTAAGTGACGCACTCAGTAAAATATCATCTTGCAGTCGTGGATCTAAGTGGTGCTAAAAAGCTCCCGTTAATTACTTTTTAGGGTTTATAATAAAATCCACATCCTTGTAAGAACTAACTGGAGGCAGAACTTGATGATCTTCTCTTGGATGGAGGTGAAATGTCTTTAAAAACCTTTTTGACACAGATTATTGGGACCGGTTATTGAACAGATCTTGCATGTTTTTAACGGGAAGTTCTTTGTCATTGAACAGAGCAAACAGAAACCAGCCTCGTGCATGTTTGTGTGTTGTTGTGTGAGCACTAGAGGACACTATTTACCAGAGTTTAAATATGGCTGCTGCGAGCCTGGAAGCTCAGGTCTGCTGTTTGTTCGGCTCACAGAGAAGCTGTTGACTCTCTGAGGATAAATAAACACGTGTCTCTGCACATCCACAGAGCTTCCACAACTCCGAGGTCTGCAAACACGGAGCACATTTCATCCCGACGTAGACGTAAATCAGAAAAACTTGCCGACTCTGGGGATCGTCTGCGTGCTCGTTAACAGCAAAGCCAACCTGCGCTGATCGTTTAAAAGTTGATATTGATCAGAGGATGTGCAACAAGGGCGCCGTCTTATGTGTCAGATCGGAGCTGATACAGATTTATTTCTGGCTGGTTTGGTCGGAGGTGAAGCGGAGCATTAGTAAATGATCGATCGGGTAATTTGAAGGAGCCACAAACTGGATTGTTTTTTTCACATGATCACGTAAACAGCCTCTCCTTCTAATTTAAGGTGGAAAAACAAGAGAGAACCGTGTGAGGACGGTTACCTCGCTGACATCATCAAGTGGGCCCACCCATAGACTGTATAAAAGATGGACGTAGCTACCGTGACGTCACCTGTTGGTTTCTGCACTGAGAAAATGAAGCCAGGGTTTTGCTACTTCCTGGTTGACATCTTGGATTTTTGGAGCCAGTGAAAATCGTCGGAGGGGGGCGGAGCCATAGGAGCAGTGATTGGTCAGATGGATTGAGAGGCGGGCCCTCTCTGCCCCACCCACATTTACCGCCTTCTGCTCGCTTCGTCTGTATGGTCGCTGCCGACTGTCAATCAAGCCAGCCACGCCCCTTGCCCCGCAAAACGTTGACGATTTTTTAAAAATTCAGTTTTGATTTATTTTCAGATTGGCCACCAGATCTCTGGATTTGAAGATGAAAACTAATAACGAAAAAATCCTGAGCTGTAGGAATGCAGTATTTATTGATCTCTGATCACTTCTTTTCCAATTCCAGTCTATGGGAGCCAGGGCTTTCTGGAGCCAGCAGCTAGTGGACGTAGTGATGTTGCAGGTTTTTGACACTTCCGGGTTGTCTTCATTTTTCAGGGCCGGTTGCTACGTCCATCTTTTATACAGTCTGTGGGCCCACCTCGTCGCAGAAACCCAACACAGCGCCCGCCGATGGATCTCCAGGACGCTCACATCATCTCGCCAAATGAGCTCGCTGCCACGTTCGGCGACATTATTAAGAAATCTCTGCACTCGGGAAGCCGTGCCATGTTTTCAGGGCGAGATTTAAAAGCGGCTTTATTTCGAGACTT